TAAGATAGGAGTGGGTCTGACGCTCTCCCAAAAGCATTACTCCGGGGCTTCTCCTTCATCTGCTGGTTCATACTCAGACATAACATCACCGGCTCAATCTGACCCATGTATGAATCGTTATTTAAAGAAAATGTACTGGGAACAAGTTAAGATTTATGATAATCAAGTGAAGGTGTTAGAGTTTGTGGCTAAATTACAGCCCAACATCCAATTACCTACGATTGATCGTCCATAACCAGTTGACCTAGACGCTCCTCTCCATCCTTCAGATGATCACAGTCTTAATGATGATTCAGATGTTGGCGATGTTGCAAACTTAGACGATTAGTTCCTTTATATGTACTATTTTATTTTTCACTTTATTTAGACTTTTATATTTTTTTGAACATTATATATGCACTTCATGTAGTATTCATAATATATTTTATAAATTTATTTAGATTTACTATTTTTAATATTAATTTATATTTCACTTTTAATGTATCTTAATAAATTCTATTCAGTATGTAACATAATAATGTTTAATTAAAATTATTAAAAATTAATTAATTGCCATTTTTTAAAAATTATACAAATTAATTAATTTCAGTTTTTTACTACGACTTTTTTAGACTTGTCGTCACAAAAAAATAAGATTATTTGCGACGACAATTTGAAATGTCGTCGCAAAAAATGATCATATCACGAGAATTTTACAACGACGTATTAGCGATGCCTGTCGTCACAAATACAGCATGTCGTCACAAATACAGTTGCGACGACACTATGTCGTCATAAAAAAAACGTTTTTGCGACGACAAATCGTCGCAAAACTGTTATTTGCGGCGACATGCGGGTTTTTGCAACGACAAAAAGTCGTCACAAAAACCCTTTTTTCTTGTAGTGATAATTTTACTTTTTTTTTCTTATAGCTGCAACAATTTTTAAGAAAAATAACCAACCACAATTTCATAAAAACCTAACACCATTTCCATAAAATTCTTATTTTCATGCTTGAAACAAAATCATTTTGAAAATAATGGGCGTGTTTGTTTCCGTTTTTTAAAACGTTTTTCACGTTTTCTAAGGAGCAAAAACGGAAACATCGTGAAGATTACGTTTGGTGACCCATTTTCTCAAAAATAAAACTAAGAACACCCATTTTCATTTCCTCTTTTATCTCCTGTTTCTGAAAATGATTTTTTATCGTTTTCATTTTTCTTGTTTTCATTTTCTCCACTAGATTTCCTTCAACTCCTCTCCGAAATCACTGATCTCCCTCTCATCTTTTCTCCACATTAGTTTTTCTAAACTCATCTTTTCTCACCTTCTATCCTGATAACTGATAACCCATTAATCCATTTCCAACCTTCTTTCTTGAAACCGTGAGGACCTAGACTTGCTTGCCGACACAGTCGAAGACCTCCGCAGCTGTCCAAGCCGAATCCTTGTTGTCGACCCAAACCTTGGAGCCTTTATGGACGCTCATCTTCGGTTCTTGAGTGGAAAAATCAAATTGAAGAAGAAAGGACAACCGAAGAAAAACCCTAGAATCGCTAACCAGAAATGATGAAATTAAGAAGTGAAATTGAAATTTCAAACCCTAGGGGAAGGCGGAGAATTGCAGAGAGAGACCAAAGAAGAGAGAGAGAGAGAGAGAGAGAGAGAGAGAGAGAGGTTTCTGTGGGTGAAATTTGGGATTCAATTATTTTAAATACAATTACATATTTTTAAAAATAAAACCATCAAACGCAATTTCAGTTTTTTTTAAACTCAAAATAATTTTTGAATAAAACTACCAAACGTATTTTTAGAAATAATTCTAAAATAGATATGAAAACGTTTTCATTTCCATTTTTATACAGAAAATAAAATCATTTTGGAACGAGTTTCAAACGCACACAATACCAAACAGACCTACATTTAAATCTTGTAGATACATCATATGTAGTAGAAGATGACCAAGCCACATATTATTTGAGTGAGCACTCCTATTTATCTTTATGGGGTTAAAATTCTACTACTCACATAAAATGAGTTCTTTTATATGGGTTGAACCTAACTTAATAGAAGTAGGACCCATCATTTTAAAAGTTATGATGATTTATTCTCATTAGATGAATACTATTTATGTATATATATTAAAAAAAAATTAGAGTAAGAGATTCGAACTTCACTATGGTGGAATTAAGTGTTGAATTACCATTAGATTATATCTGTAACTGCATTTCTGTATTTGAATTGTAACCAAATTGTTAAAAAGAATCTAAAAAAAATATATTAAAATTAAAAGAAGATTAATTGTGGCCAATAATCAATAGGAGTGTCCATTGGCAGATAGATCGTTGTTTTTAGGTTTCACAAAAACCAATGATCAAGCATATGTGGGAGTGGGAATAAGTATGATTATTAATGATTCCTCATCTTAATTTCTAGAGATAATATTACGTTAGAAATGGGAAAAGTTTTTAGCGCAGCCACAGCCGCCATTTCCACTCACTCTCTTTCACTCTCCATTTGTCTCTTCATGATTAGCTTCCTAACCGATGCCACTAATTATTCCTCATTAAGTGATTAATTCCAAAGCTACCATTAAACAAATATTTAATTCCCCTAATTCCTTCAATCATATAACTCATCCGTACGTAGAAATAATATCAGAGAAGAAGAATCATTCCCATTTCTCCGTGTCCTTTTATTAGTAGAAAATACAGAAGAGGAATAATTCAAACGATTAAATATCATATAGAAAACTCCTCAATTTCCCACCTCTATATATACCGTGTGATTTTTGGCTTGTTTTTCTCACTCACACTCTTCATATAATAAACCCTACTGAAAAACAGCTCTTTTTGTTTGTTTAATCGATCTTACATAATCTTGGGGTTGAACATGGAGGTTGAAGATGCCAAGTTAACCGTGAGGGAATTTGATATTGACAAGGACATCCCAGCCGTGGAAGACTTGGAAAAGAGATGCGAAACGACAGCGAGTTCAGGAGGCAAAATGTCACTCTTTACTGATCTTTTGGGCGACCCCATTTGCAGAATCCGCCACTCTCCCTCCTTCCTCATGCTGGTTTGTGTAACATTGGCCTTATATATTTGGTTTCTGTCGTTTGTGTTTTTATTTGTAATGGGGTTATTATGCTAATAATTATGATATATTTATATTTATATTACTATTCAGGTGGCTGAATTGGGTGGTGTTGAGAAAGAGATTGTTGGAGTCATTAGAGGCTGCATCAAAACCGTTACTTGCGGTAAAAAGCTCAGTAGAGTAAATGGAATAATTACCGCTAGTGAACAAGATGATCATTCTGATAACAAAGTGATTATCACTCCTGTTTGCACCAAGCTTGCTTACATTCTTGGCCTTCGAGTTTCTCCTTTCCATAGGTTTGTCTCCATTACTACTGGATTTGGAATGAGCAAAATGAAATAGATACTATACTTATGAGTCCAACCACGCTATGCATTTGCTATTCATTTTTAACTAGTCAGCAAGATTATATGCTAATACTGGGATCCATAAATTACTCATGTATAAAGAACTATACATAATTTGTTAATGAATGAAAAATTAATAGTTGAGGGTCATTTGTTTCAAGGATTCTATAGAATGACTTAACAATTTCATATATATTTTTATTTTGATACGTAATATTTATAAATACGCGTCTTTTTAAATAATTTTCTTACTAAATTTTCTTGGTAGGCGCAAAGGTATTGGATCAAAGCTTATTAACCAAATGGAGGATTGGTTTAGAAAGAATGGTGCAGAGTACTCATACATGGCAACTGAACTTGACAATAAACCCTCCTTAAGCCTCTTCATAAAAAGATGTCACTATACCAAATTTCGTACCCCTGCAATATTGGTCCAACCGGTTTTCGCTCACCGAGTCAAAACGAATAGCAACCGAGTCACCATCATCAAACTCACCCCGGCCGATGCCGAGACCATCTACCGCCGCCGATTCTCCGCCACCGAGTTTTTCCCACACGACATTGATAGAATTCTCCACAACAAGCTCAATCTAGGCACCTATGTGGCCGTTCCAGCTGAGTCCGACTCGGTCGAGTCGTGGCCTGGCTTGGCCGAGTTCCTGTGTGACCCGCCCGAGTCTTGGGCCATAATGAGCGTGTGGAATTGCAAAGAGGTATTTACGTTACAAATCAAGGGCGCGTCTTTTTCACGGCGGTTGGCAGCGAAGACCACGCGTGTGGTGGACGGCGCGTTGCCCTGGCTGAGAATACCTTCCGTGCCTGACGTGTTTAGGCCATTTGGGATGCTGGTTATGTACGGGTTGGGAGGGGAAGGCCCACGCGCGGAGCGGATGGTGAAGGCGCTGTGCGGTCACGCGCACAACGTGGCCAAGGAATTGAGATGTGGAGTGGTGGCTACTGAGGTGGCGAGTCAAGACCCGTTGAGGTTAGCGATTCCGCACTGGGAGAGGCTATCGTGCGCCGAGGATGTATGGTGCGTGAAGAGGCTGGTACAGGATTACGGTGATGGGCCTACTGGGGACTGGACCAAGTCCAGCCCAGGCCCTTCAATTTTTGTTGACCCCCGAGAATTCTAAGGTTTGACCTTTTTAGACTAGAGTCTTGTGTCGTTTTTCAGTTGAGACACATTTTGGCTTCGGTGTAAAAATCAAACTTTTAACTGTAAATTGTTGAACAAATTCTGGTTTAGTTTTCGTTTCCTTCATGATGTAAATAAATGGTATGTTAAGTCTTCAAATATATCAAATTTAAGACAAATAAATCATTTTAGTTTTACATAAACTACAGAATTTTGATACGTTTGTATTCATGATTTCCACGATAAAGCTTTTGCATTACTAATATCATTTTTCAAAGATGCCTAAATTAAGTATGTAGTGATTGTGCTGAGATTTTTTTTTTTTTTTTTTTATCTAATTTGCATTGAGATTTTGAGTGATCATTTAGTTAAATATATATATATATATATATATTGATCACCACTAATAATTAGGCCTTCATAATTCATGCAATCTTTACCCTGACTATTAGTTTACCTTTGTTTGCAAGATTAGCTAAAAGTCCCTACTTCAAATTATATGTACTTTCATTTCTTGCTTAATAAGAAGACATCCATAGTTTTAAGTTGCTAGTGTCATAAACAGAGGAGAAAACTCCAAAAGAGAAAAGAAGGGACCAAGACCTATCTTCTGTCTGGTAATTCAACTACGACACCGAATGCCTCCTATTTCGGGACGGTGTGGATTTTGCTTCTTCCGGGTTGAGGGAACCGAGACTCTCTGATGAATCGGAGCCACTGTTCTCACCCTGTCCCCCTTTGCTTGACCACAGCTTGGTAAAGATCTTCTTGGACTTGAGTAGCCCTCTCATTTTACTAATAGCAGCCTTGTCCACACCACTTTTAGCACCATCTCCACCATTCCTTTCACTTCCGCCCACTCCATTGCTTAACCTTAAGGAAGCTAGCTCCCCCCTCAGGGCCCTGAGCTCCTCGGCTGTTGCTACCGCGTCCCAGTCTTCCTCTGTGTTTGTTGTCGCCGACCTTGAGCTCCCATGAGACGCATTGTTTAAGTCCTTTATGCTTTTAGGTAAGTCAGGAGTGCTGCTGCCTGACGTTGCAGCGGCTCTCACCTGCTCGAAAAAGAGAACTTGCACAACAACCCGCAATGGGAGCCTCTCGTTTTGCACAGCGTGCATGCAGGCATCTACCGATAGCTTTCTGCAGTCCATCAGTTTGCATATCCTTTTCCTTTCACTCTTGCTGATTCCCGGGTGTTCCTGTATTGAAATGTTATGTTAGAAGTTTCTCAAACTGCAAAAGACTTGGAATTTTATCAGAAACACCAATGCTATAAACAGCATACCATTAAAATGAAAAAAAAAAAAAATATATATATATATATATATATATTAGGGAACATTTTTGGAAGCTCTTACCTTAAGATACATGTCAATGGCGCGATATATCCCATCATGGGCAGGCCGAGAGATGCCAGACACCATCTCAGCAAGATCAACAAACTTTGATAAGGGTAGATTTGGATCCTTCGCGATTTCAGCGAGATATCCATCAATCAGCTTGGCCACCATCAACTTGGAAGCATCAGATAGAATCCCAGGCCTCATCTTTTGAAGCTGATCATCATCTTCAAGCGATTCGATCTCAGTATTCAGATCTTGCCTTAAGAACACCTCCACTATTCTCTGCACAACGTTAACATCATACATCATAGTTTCCTCTTCTGCTGCTCTTATCAAGATATCATTCACAGAAGCCTCCTCCAATTGCTGCCCAATTCTTTTCACAAGTTCTTCCTTAACCACATCACAAGAGCCCACGAGATTGGCTGCTTTCAACAATCTTAGCAGGAAACTACAAGAGACACTGCCTTTCTCCGCAGGCAACAGCCAAACAATTGCATCTACTGTTGTCTGGTGTTTCACCATATCTCCACACTGGATCATACCCTTGCTAAAACCAGGCAGCCTTCTGTAAGCATAAGCTTTCAAGGCTTCTCCAATGACTTCATTAGATACTATTGCTTTGGATTTTATAGTAGCAAGAACAATCTTGTATAGATCGATTTCAAGCTCACATAAATCCTCAACCCACCAATCCTTTGGCACAGAACGCTTTACGACGCCATTCCAGTTTGGATCATTATTACCATTTTCCTCTGGGAGCTTTTTCCGGTAATAGGAATATGACCAGTCAACTTTGGAAACATCAACGCAGGCCTTGGTAGCTATAGACTCGACACAGCGACCGACCAACTTCAGTTCCTTGGGCATTGATGTGAGAGAATTTGTGGTCTCGAGAACGATGATTGAATCCTTCCAGCTGCGGAAAATGCTCGAGCTAAGGAAGACATCTATCTTGTAAATGAGATTCCCTTTCTCAATTGTCTCGTGCATTCCCAAGTATTCAGCAGCGCATCGCACCACAACGACGTTGTGGGCATTGAGGGTGACAGTCATGCCATAACAAAACTTGACACAGATCTCAAAGGCTTCAGGGCCACCAGGAATGTCAGAAATGTAGACTCCGTCACTGTGTTCATCAGTGGCGGTTGAGACCAATTTCTGCAAGTGGGCACTCTTCGATAGAAGTGGAAACTGCAAAACCAGATTTCAGTTTATTACTATCCCAAGATATATTCTAAGGTGGCTACAATATAGATGCAAATGAACTGAGTTGAGCATTCTATTTCATGGTTTGAGACGAGTGTGAATCAGTTCACATTGGCTAAAGAAAATTGTTCAAAGTTTTTAGGAGCAATTACTCAAGCTGACTTATTTACTTCATTCTTCACAGCAGTCATTTTTGTAATCTTTATTCTTGTTTCTTTAAAATAAAATAAAAAAACAATAAAAATAAAAAAGAATTCTGTTTATTAAACAAGAACCTGAATGTGTTAGAATTAAAGGCAGAGCAATTTTCTAAAAAAAAGCTGAATAGGGTCAAATCAATTAGTAACATAACACTTGAAACTTGCTCTAGCAGCCTTCAAACACAAGAAATGACATTACTGAACCTGAAATAACTCCTCGAAAACGCCAGCCAAATGATGGAAAAACTCAGGAGAATTCTGGCAGTACTAACAGTCTTAAGACAATATAATACAAAAACTTTTATATCAAAGATCAACATACCTTATGTAGATAAAATTTCACATCTCCTACAATTACGGTGATGTCTGAGGCCAACTCACTTGCCACATACCTGCACATCAATGAAAAAGTTGTTTGGCACTGTTTGTAAGGACTTCAAAAATATAGCTATAACTTTAAATAACAAAAATAATTAAATATAGACAAGCAACAATAAGAGCTTGTGACAAGGGATATTTAATATTTGACCACTGTCCAAGCACTTTTCTCAAGACTATTTCAACTTATAACAGGAATAGAACAGCTTTTAAGATCCTTGAACACTATATATTTGTATATTTCTTTTAGAGATATATGGATGAAAAGACTGAAGATTAGTAAATAATATTCACATAACTCATTTCCTAAAGTTCTACACTAACCACATTCACAAGCCCCAACTAGAGTAACTAGAACAGAAACTTTAACGAGTACATCTTAATTGTTAAGATGATGAACAATTTAAAGACATACTATTTTTTTAAATAAACTATTTTACGTTGTCGATAGCCAGAAATATAAAAACCTTAGGATTTACTTATCTATAGCTTCGATGGATATATCAAAATTAGATCTCCCAAAACCAATCTTTTACCAACATGGTCTTAAAAAACCTTAACAGAAACAGAAAATTAAAGTCCAACAAACCCAACAAGCCAAAGTAACACGTTCTGATTAAGAAAAGTAAAACACACAAGATTAGATTGACCCCAGAAGATGTCTCACCTGACATTTTTCCCATCAGTCTGGAAAGAGTCCGGCTTCGATCCGAGTTTCATAAACTTCATCTTGGAAAAAAGGCCAAAGATCTGCTGCTGCTACTACTCTAACCTCTCCAAGAACAAAAACTCTCCCACTACTGAACTTGATCAAGAACTAAATCAAAAACTTCCTTGCCGACCACTCATCCTAAAACAAAAAAGTAAATAATAATCTTTATTTGATGAGAAGAAGTTAGTTTAGTCCCCTGAAATATGGAGGTGGGGACCAAAACTTTCACTATATAACACAACTTTCTTGGCTTGAAGAGAATGAGATGGTTAAAAAAGGTAAGGATCTCAAAGAGGGTGAAGGATACATGCTGTACGGGGCAAGACCGAATCTTGACAGCAACCAAGGCAGAGAGTATGAGTAAGAGAGAGAAAGGAAGATGGTGAAGAGAGAGAGAGAGAGAGAGAGAGAGAGATAGAGAGAGAGATGATAGGTTGTGGTAATGCAAATATTATTTTAAGAAAAGGTTCTCTTGAATGGCAAGAGAGGCAAAGAAGAAGAGGGGTGTTTCCTTGGTCGGCGGCAAAGCCCACGGAGCTCGGGGAAACCAAGTCAGCTCAGGAGACATTGCCAACAGACTCTCAACACTAAAAAATTCTTCTAAGAAAAAAGTAAAAAAAAAAAAAAAAAAAAAAAAAAAAAAAAAAAAAAGAAGAAGAGAGAGAGACACCCCCACAAGCACAAATCTGACTCTCCACCACACTCTTCCACTATTTCTTTATATCTTTCACTGTATTCTGATTATCTGTTTTCTTTAATAAACTAAAGATTATCATGCCACAAAGTCCTCACCAAGTAAAAACTATTATAAGCTTCAAGTTACAACTTAAAAACATATAGAAATCAGATTACCCTTTTTAAATTGATGGTTTCTCTCTTTTTTTTTTCCAACCGTTGAAGTTTGAAAACCTGCAACAGAAAACAGCATCTCGGTATCAGTTGAAGAAACCACCAAAACGGTAGACAACAAGCATCTAACTTTATTTGTTTTTCCTTTTTCTTTTTTGCAAAGTATACAGGAATATATAAATGAGGGGGGAAAAAAGTGACTACAGTAATGAACAATCAATCGAACATCAACTACCAACAGCAAAATCACTACAAATACTGATGTGAAATCTGAGGAATCTACCAGAATATATCGTATCAAATCAAATAGAATAATGGAGAGTGTGAGATCATATGTTAGAGAGGAATCTCTAAAACCCCTTCATGAAGAAATATATATTGCACGCAACGCCAATCAAATAATAATTGGAAAAACAGAAAGACAAGCCCCATAATCCACTCTCCGCGTAAACCCCAACAAAACCCAAGAAATCTCATTTCACCAAATCTCCAAAACTATAACATAAAAGGAAAAAAAAAAAAAAAAACCCCCCCCATTTTTCATTGTGAACGAAATATCAACCAAAACCAAACCTTGAAACTTAAAAAAAATAAGCAAACACAAGACGGGAAAAACAGGGAAAATAGTGAAGAGCATAATTAACTAACTCACCCTCACTAATCTTACACCGCCATTGTCGTTCAAGAATGCCCACCAAAACCAATGGCTAACAATGAAAAAGAAATGACAAGCTTACAACTTTAAAGGTAAAAAGTAAAACCCAGTTATAACAAAGTGAACAAGTTTCTCTTGCTAGCTAATTGCTACTTGCTACTAGGTAGCAAAGACTATAAGTACTTTTTTCAAAGACGATAACTTTTTTTTTTTTTTTTTTTAAGTTTTCATCTTTGATATTTGGTTTTAATGAGAGTAAAACTAAAAATATAAAATATAAAAAAAAGTGGAGAAAATGTTGATCGAGTAATGGGGGGTATTAAAGACTCACCACCTTGCTCAGTTATGCACGCCAAAAACTGACACTCGGCTTTCTTTTACTTTCTTTCTAATGCTTGCTTTGCATTTGCCCCCATATGACGGACTCTCTATATGAAATGTCCCCCTTTATTACTTGCCTCCCAATTAAACTTCTTCTTCAGACTCCTTCCTCTCTCTCTCTCTCTCTATATATATATATATATACACACACATATATATATATATATATATTCATCATGATGATCCAACGGTGATGATCCAACGGTGGCCAAAAAATAGAATTCTTTTTTTCTTTTTTTTTTTTGGTTGGCTTAGAACAACTGGTTTCTGATCATAATAAAATAGGCAGAACTTTGATTGGCTTGAGTTCCAAGGATGTCCAAGTACATTATGCCATTTTTATTTTATTTTTATTTTTCTTATATTGTTCCTCTGTACTATATACATCATGAAGCTCCTCAGAATGTACCTGCATCTTTAATTTCCTTTGATCTTCTAGTACATTATCCTCTTTACAAAAAATAATGAGGAAATAGCAATGATTTTTTTTTCTTTTCTTTTTTTACTTCTTCTAATTTATGGAGGTTTGCTACAAGAGTTGTTAGGTCTCATCACTGCAGGTAGGTTCCTTTTTATTCCCCCTTTAAATGAATGTGTAACATGAGAAAGATGCCACATTTTTGTAGGGTGCATGTCCTATTGATTCATGTTGTTAAATGAAGAAGCAAGGATAATGATCATTAACTTTTTTCTACTTCACACCTATATATATGTGTTTCGTTTTATATTAAATCAACTTAATATTGTCCAGTGGTCATATATAACATATTTATTTGTACCATTGTCGTAAGTTAGACATACAACACACATATATATACATAAACTCATACATACGTGTGTGTATGTATGTGTGTGTATATACGTATCCTTTTGCCTTGAATGATGCGTTTCGTCTGTCAATGATTCCAGCTGGCACTCCAAAAATTTATGTAAGAATAGTGGTATGAAGCTGTACTAAAGTGACCTAAAACTTCTGAGCAACAAAGCAATATTTATTATAATATAATATATAACACTGTATATACTAGAGCATAAATATCTTTAGACCAAGAAAAAAAAAAAAAACCGCACTCTAAATATGTAAATTAACATTAAGGAAAGTTAATGTTGTAGGTATATTCCACGGAAAGTTCACCTACGAATTCATCACCATAGATAATGTTAAGAGTTGAATTTCCCGTGTCAAATTTACCAAAGAAAAAAAAGGACGTCTAAACAATAATATAACTAAAAAGAAAAATGATAATCCAATCCTTTGAGAGTTGAGACTCCAATAAATCTGTTTGGTGTACCCGTTCATTCGTTGGAGTTAATGAGCCATGTAATAATATTTGGCCTATTTATCCTATGACTTTGATCTCCTTTGGTCACTGCTCGAGTTTGACCAACTTACTGGCCAACTTTTGATTTTGACCAGGCTACACGTGTCTTTGTGTTAATTGGCTAAGTTAGGGTTTGTGAATTTGATCCACGAGCCAAAACCAACCTCAATCAATAATACGAGACACGGGTGGTGTTAAGTCACCCACCAATAAAAAATATAAGTTCTGTAACGTTAGAAGCGCGGTGGTGTCTCTAAATATTTTTTATTAATTTTAAATTTTCTCATTTATTATTATAATTTAGCCCATTTGTGACAAAAATATTTACAACAACATTTATTGTTGCAAATAAATAAATAAATATTTGTGATGACATAACGTTATAAATATTTTTCATATAACAGAAAAATATTATCGTCGCTAAAAACTCACACATCGTCATAAATATGTAGTTGGCGGTAAATGTTGTCTGGCGCCAACGTTTGCCGCTAAAATAACATTATTTGTGACGACTTGTCGTCGCAAGTAATTCACTATTTGCGACGACACATGTCGTCGTAAATAATATTTCATTTATTTATTCTTCCCCGAATAAAAAGGGGTCATTTTGGCGGTTCACAAAATTTATTTGCGACGACATTAATAGGTGTCGTCGTAAAAAATTAATTTTGTATTCCCTCGCTGAAATAAACGGCAGGGAAATTGGGCGGTTCCCCAAAACTTATTTGCGACGACAATTATATGTGTCGTTGCAAATAATAATTGCAGAACCTTCCTTATACTTAATTAAGTTATATTTACGACGATATGTATAGTCGCAAATAATGTTAAGTTATATCGTCACAAATATGCTTTTTTATCGTCATAAATATGTTTTTTTTGTTGTCGTAAAAAACTCTGTCTATATGCCCACGACTAGAGCCTCCTCCTCCATTTTTCTGATCCCTTTTTCTGGTTTTCTGACCCCAAACTCCCAAAATATCCATCTATTCTCTTCTAAATGCTTACCAAATCAACATTATTATAAGTTTTTATTGTTTTTTAAGCAAAAAAAAATCCAAAAATCTCACCATCAAAGTCTGTCGCCGCCGAAGTCTGCCGCCGTTTGCCCCTCTTAATCTTGCCGTTTTCAGCCTCGTTTTAGTGGGTTTGAACTTTGTAAGTTTTTACATATTTATTGTCTTTTTTAGTTTAAAATGTTTGAGTTTTTTGTTGTTTGAATTTTGTATAATTATAGATTTTTAATTTTGAATTTTGATTTATAGATTTTAGTATTAGTATATAATTTGAAGTTTGGATTATAGATATTGAATTTTAGATTATGAATTTTGAGATTGTTGAAATTTGGTATTGAGATTGTTGAAATTTTAAGATTATAATTTGATTTAGGTTAAAATTAAAAGTTTTGATAATTATTATGGGTGGCACATCTTGCAGTTATGGTGTGCTGAAATATTTTAAAAGCTATTTTTTTGCAGGTTTGAATTTTTAGATAATAAGAAAATTATGTTGTTATGCTGCCGAAATTTTATTAAAACCTATAAATTTTAAGAATTTCATTAATAAGATTTAATTATATTAATAGAAAGTAAATTAAAAATTAATTATAAACATTATGAGTACAATAATAATAAAATAAATTATTCATAAAAATTGATAAAACTTATAAAGTTGAAATATGCAATATAAAACTTTCTTTTGAACGTGACTATAGTCATAAGAAAACATGAAGAATGATTGAATGTGTAATTATTTTTGTAGTCAAGATGCCAATTGACAAGAGTTGAATATATATGAAAACCCGGTTGTCTAATCAATATTGGGAAGGATTATCTGCTTTTATCAACATTGCGAAAGACCATGTTGATGAAAGTGGTTGTACAAGTTGTCCTTGTTGGAGGTGTTTAAACCATAAGTGTTTTCCAATAGAGCACACATACACCAATATGGTTTCAATACTTTATATACGACGTGGCATTACCACGGCGAAGACAATGTTGTGACTAATGCAATAAATGAATCAGTTGACGAAATGGTTGCAGTTATATATGATGTTGTTAGAAATAACTCCGATCATGATATGCCGGATGAAGTACAAGCTAAGGTGTTAGGTGATGCGCAGCACGATGAATTTAAAGAGTTATTATCCGAGCTCGAATCGGCATTGTATCAAGGGTGTACTAAGTATTCGCATTGAATTTTTTGGTGAAACTGATGCATTTAAAGGTGCTCTACAAATGGCCCAATGAGGGTAAGAATTCTATTTTAAAGCTATTGAAAGATGCATTTCCTGAAGGAATTAAACTTCCAGATTCTTATTACGACGCGAAGACGAAATTGGGTAAACTCGGTTTGGGCTACAAAACAATACGTGTCTGTAAGTATGATTGTGCGTTATTCTGGAAGAAGAATGCCGATCTATAGGTTTGTCCAGTATGTAACACCAGTCGTTGGAAGAGTAAAAAAACAAAAGGTAAAAAAGTACCATAAAAAGTATTACAGCATTTTCCTTTAAAGAATCAATTAAGGCATCTGTATAGCTCGCGTCACACTGCAAAGGAAATGACGTGGCACATGCGGGAGCATTCAAAGGATCCAGACTTAATGTGTCATCTAGTTGATGGTAGGGAGTGGAAAGATTTAGATATGAAGTATCCTGAATTCGCGCGTGAACCAAGAAACGTTCGATTAGGTTTAACTATGGATGGTTTTAATCCTTTCAGAAGCATGAGCTTATCATATAGTATGTGGCCGGTGGTTCTTATTGCTTACAATTTACCTCATTGGTTATGCACTAAGGATCCGTACAAGATGTTGACACTATTGATTCTCGGTCGAAATGCCCCTGGAAAGGATATTGATGTCTTTTTGCGACCACTTGTTGATGAACTTAAAGAACTGTGGGAAGAGGAAAATCACCATTCATGACGCCGCTTCAAATGCATCGTTTAAGATGCGTGCTACATTGCTAATGACTATTAATTATTATCCTGCTCGTGCTAGTTTGTCTGGCTGGAGTGGACAGGGGTATTTAGCATGTTCATCATGCAATGATGCGACACCATCAAAGAGGTTGATGAGTAAAACTGTTTTGTTGGGCATTGACGGTGGCTTCCTATTGGGCATATGATGAGAAACAGTAGGAAGTTTGATGGAAAGGTTGATCATCGTCCTCCTCCACCTCGGAAGTCTGTCGAAGAAATATTATTTCAGTTATAGAATGTCAAGTCCAAATTGTCAGGTAAACATGAAAAGTATGGAGGTAAGAAACGAAAGAGAAAATCTTCATAGCTTAACTGGACAAAGAAGAGTATTTTTTAGGAACTACCTTACTGGACTTCATTATCAATTCGTCACAACTTAGAGGTCATGCATATCAAAAAAAATGTATGTGACAGCTTGTTGGGTATGATTCTTAGTATCGATGTGAAAAGTAAGGATATAGACAAGACGATGATCGATTTGCAGAATATGGGGATTCATAAAGAGTTGCATTTGTACAAGGATGGTGATTGTTGGATGAAACCACTTACAGCTTACACTTTAACCCAAACTGATAAGCACAAGTTCTGTGAATTTTTAAAGCCTATGCAATTTCCTCATGGATTTGCCTCGAATTAAAAAAAAATATATAACTGATGGGAACACAAAGATCAGTAGGTTAAAATCACATGACTGTCATGTTATAATACATCGATTGTTACCGATTGGGATTTGATCATTCATGAAAAAGGAAATTGTAGATGCAATAACAGAACTGAGTAATTTCTTTCTATTGATATGTTCTTGAACATTAAAAATTTCAGATTTAGAGAGAACCTAAGAAGATATAATTCTTATCCTGTGCAAATTAGAAAAAATATTCCCACCATCTTTCTTCGACATAATGGTTCATCTATTGACGCATCTACCAGAAAAAGCCATTTGTGGAGGACATGTTCATTTAAGGTGGATGTATCCATTTGAACGCTTTCT